ACAGCAATGCAGGGGTCTCACATGGCAGAAAATGGTGGAGCAGAGAGAGATAGCTCCTACAAATTTTCTTAAAATAAAAAAAAAAAGTGTTCACAGATTTTATGTTAAAAAGTGGCAATTTTTGAAAAGTGTGAAACCTGTCACTTAAGTCTGAAGAGTAATGGCTCTCACTTGGTTTCCCTGAAGCTAGTCTATTTTTCTCTATGCAATAACAGAAAATTAAGCAATAGGTTTTTTTGCACATCTTGACCGAAGGAATATGAACTTGCATCCTTCATAAAACAAATTCAGGGCACTCTTATGGTACTTAAAACATCTAAATATACTAAGGACAACCAAAGGAATCCAAACCAACAGGAAAGAAGCGGCACTGGTATGCAGCCAATTTTTCTATCCAAACACTCAACAATTTCTGGCAGTTATCTCTGCATCATTATCCAAGTTAACATGCCTTGAGTTTACAAAACTGGTGTAAAGTTATTCAAGAAATAGGGTGGTTTGCTGAAGAAAGGAAGAGATGTTGTTAATGTGCACATGTAATAACTTTCCAATAAACATTACTGATATTGGGCCGGCCCGGTGGCGCACTGCTACAGTGTGCCGCTTGGGAAGCGTGGTGGCGCTCCCGCCGAGGGTTCGGATCCCACATACACACCGGCCGCTCACTGGCTGAGCGAGGGGCGGGAGCAACACCGAGGGTTGCGATCCCGTGGCCGGTCCCGGTCCGGTACGGGCACGACACTGAGGGTTGCGATCCGTTGCCGGTCACGAAAAAAGACAAAAAGGAAAAAAAAAAAACCATTACTGATATTACTCTGTCAAATTTTTTTCCATACCTTATTAGAAGACTGTTAAGGTTCCCATTACAGAAACAATGAAAAAGGTATTGCCCAGACAGTCAACATGTCTGGAAAGAATACAATTTTTTGCCACATCATCTTCTTCCCCAGTCTGATAACATGAACAGTTGCTTCTAGTGTGACATAAACATCATATACTGGACCAGTCTGTAAAGTTACACTTATATGTTCATAGCAAGACTGATCAACAAATGACCTGATAAACTTATCTCCTAGCACTTTCATGAATAACAATTATGAGAATCTTTCTTTTAAATACAAAATATCTCTCAAATTTGCTATGTACTCAAGAGCATATAGATATCTTTTATGCAGCGTTAAGCATAAAATTTAAAGAAACTTACCTAGAAATGTGTTACATATACAGCAATAAAGTGGGGACATATCTTATTCATCACCTGCTTAAAACCTAGTAATGTTTAAGGGCTGGCCCGTGGCTCACTTGGGAGAGTGTGGTGCTGATAACACCAAGGCCACGGGTTCAGATCCCTATATAGGGATGGCTGGTTAGCTCACTTGGGAGAGCGTGGTGATGACAAAACCAAGTCATGGGTTAAGATCCTATTACCGGTCATATTTTCTAAAAAACAAACAAACAAAAAAACAACCCTAGTAATGTTTATCTTTATAACTTCACTTACAACCCAAAGGGAGCAGATAAGAATACAGCTATTTTAAGGTAAAATAGCTATTCAGCCTCTCGTTATGCCATAATGTTCTGTGCATATACCACTATAATTAGCAAACCCTCTGTACCAGACAAAATTGTACATCAAATTATATTTCATCTTACCTGATTATATAAAAACGTAAAATGAAAATGAGATATCAATTCCTTTTAACACTCCTAGTAAACAGTTCAGCAGGAGATCTGTGGCACCAAATCTCAGTGAAATATGACACAGGAAGAGCAATAATGTAATTTTCACTTAAATTTAACTTGCCATAACTTGTTATTAATATACGAAGACAACAAGCATTTAAAACATTATATTTACAAAAATCGTGGCAACAGTTATATGTAACAAGACACAGCACACCAGGCTTGCCACTCAACTTGTTTATGGTAAATCTCAGCTTCAATATGAAGCTGTTTTGATTTTTTGTTAAAAAGTCAAAACCCTGCTTTTTACATGCTAAATATCTTGGCAAGTATATCATTAAACATACTAATAAACTTAAGATAGCAAGAGTAAGGAGTTATCAAAACCTAAACATTGTAGCTTAAAATTCATACAAAAAATAAACTATAACTGGTTACATAAAATTTTCCTGCCTGGTTAAAATGAAACAATATAAAACATGCATTTTAGAATCTGTAGCTATCAAGTTCAAAAAATACCACTGTCTATTTGAAATAATTCTTCTTCAAAGCCAAAGTGTAATCAAAATTAATTAAAATGACATATACATTCTAATGCTAACAAACATTCAGTATTATTGAAGTGGAGGTAAATCTCAGAGCTTTGGGGGATTTCTCATGCTGCAAAGGGCTGTTTCTCTGGTTCACTCAAAGCAGCATATGACAGAGTCTAAGGATATCACTAAACTCAGCAAGGGCAAGACAGCTGGGACCCAGCTCTGACCTCCCCATGGAACATGGCTTCTGTGTCCATAAAAATAGGATGTGTGAGCATCAAAGGCACACTGCTCTGCTAGCTAAAGAGATTACAAACCCCACCCCACCCAAAGCTCCTTCCCCAGGTTAAAAAAAAAAGTAAAGAAGGGGAAAAAATTAACATAAGCTTATCTACAGAACAAGGATGTTGAAATATCAATGTAATCCCTACTTTAAAAATTTTAACTAGAGTCAGCTGGTCATTTCTGATTACACCTTAAAGATGTTGCCAGATTCTATTTCTGTTGACTTTATCATTAGACCCTTCTAGTTAAAAATTATTAACTTTATTCCTGAATAGCTTAACCACTAGTACGACTGCAGTGTACAGTCTTCCAGAGTTATCAAGCACTGGAAGAGAAAAAATAGATGGTCAAGCAGCAGGAAACAATAACTGTCTTTGCAAACAGAGGCATCTGAGTGGCTACTGAATAGGCCAGGGATAGTTGTAAAAACAATAAAATTCATGCATGTTAGTAAATATGCCATAATTTTCACAGCTGAAATTTCCATAGACATTGCACTTTCTTTAAAGGGGGATCCTGATTGTTCTTAATGTTATGGTGAGTCAGGACTTGAACTAGCAGCCTTCTTTTTCTTCTTACTGTGTTTCTTATTCTTCTTTTTCTTTTTTCTTTTTTCCTGTAAAGAAAATTCCATGTTAGACATTACTCTATGAAACAATACAAATTAGAAATATCATTACCATGATACATCTGAGCCATTACACAGTAATTTCAAACAATCCACACAACTACATAAACTACTCAAGATATTTCTCAAAAGTTTCAACAACCACTATCATATGAGGACTAAGACAGAAGTTGCCCATTTTCAAAAACAAAGGGAAAAACTCTTAAGTCATAGCATGTTAAATTAGCTTATAGCAAAACTTCCTATAGAAAATACATTCCATTAAACTGTGCTACCAATAGACACATTTCATTTTATGTAATTTCTAAAAGTGAAGTAACCAGTTATTGTAAAGGAGTATTCACACCACATAATTGTTTTTGTAAAATGACAGTTTTCAGAGAGACAGAATTAATAAATCTGCTATTTTTGAGTAAATAGGAACACAGATATTGCATACTCCTCAGACTGGTAGCACCGCTTTAAGCATTAAATTAACAGTAACTAAATCAGTACAAAATACTGATGTACAGGTGAAAAGTCTATTTTGCTTAGGAAAACAGACACTTGATTTTTAGAGGAAAATGCCATCGAAACCTAGTAAAAGTAATCCAATTATGAGTGGATAAAGGGACCTGGAGTTTTGCTGAACTCTGACTCTCCTGACACAGACACTTTGCAAAGGTGGTACCAAATGAGAGACTACTTACTGCTACTGTTGATATCCAGAAAAAGAAAATAAAAAGAAAGGAGGGAAGTGAGAGCACAGCTTCCTATCCTCATCTATTTCATATCTGTGAGCACCACCCACAATCTCCTCTCTCTCAAAGGCCACAACCACTTTGTGGCACTAAGCTAACTTTCATCTGTCTTGCAGCACATGCTCAAATACTACAAGGAGCCCAAAATCTTGTAATTCGATCTTTTAAAACTAAGTCTTGGGTATAGGCTACTTCTTCATAAAGCACAGTTGACCACTCTCTTCTTGAAATACTTTTCTTAGTGTCTATGACACCTCACTCTGTTGGTTTCTTTCTATCACAAAGCCCTCTTCATTTACTTTGCCAGTTCTTCTTCCTCTACTCAATCTTTCCACGGCTCCTTTCTCTTCTTTTCCACATGCTCTGCCAGTCACACACTTTAAATTCTACTTCAACAGCAATGATGCCCAGTCCTATGCTCTAAACTCAGGACTATAGGTGCAGCGTTAACAGCTCTATCTGAATGTGTAGTAGGCATACCTAAAATTACCATAACAAAATGCTTCACTTTTTTTCTCCATATTCTTAGACACCTTAGAAAATGGCATCACTAATCTGTCACTTTTGGTTAAGTCAAAGATCTAAGCTGTCACTGATTCTGCTCTTTATTTTTTGGTGGGCTAGTCAGTGCAGGGATCCAAATCCTTGACCTTGGTGGTAATACACCAAACTCTAACTTATTTTTTTAAGCTCTTATAACTCCTTGATCCTCAAAAGTGATGGAACCTGCTACCACTGATGGCCTTCCTCCAGGTAGCCTGTCAAAGGGACAAACAAGCGTGATCTGAGGCGCAGCAGATGGAACGATGTTTGCTTGTCCCATCTGAGGTTGACCGAGTTGGGCTCTGGCATGGACAGCCTCCAGGGTTCGAGAAGCTTTTTCTGTCTCAGTTTTAGCTGCAGCAATGTGCCTATCAACCTAAATTGTATTCTTCTGGATAATTCTTATTGCAGTGTATAGGGATTCCTCTTTTGAAACGTCTCCAACCTTGCCCTCAATCTGTTCGAGAATTTCTTCTCAGTTTCCTACTTGAAAGATGACTGCACCAACAGCCACCTCAATGGTCCCTATACAATTGTGGAGCTCGGTGAGCCGTGTACCTGCGACTACTGCCCTTGCCCGCTCACTCATCTCCTGTGTCCACACACTCTCCTCCCCGGCCGATTCTGCCAACTGAGTGAGTGACAATCCGTCCAGCCCCTGCCTGCTCGCTAACAGCCCCTCTACACTCTCGGTTAGTGAGTGTCTCCTCATCAGGGCTCTCTGGTCTTGGAAGAACTTTCCCCTTCCTCTGCTTCTCCTGAGCTACTACGGCCACCTTCCTCACTTCCTGCACCTGTGGCCTCATGGGTCTCTCATCGTCACTGGACATTATGTCCTGAGTTGCCATCTGCAAGTGAGTCACCACGTTCACTTGGTCTGACTGACAGAGGACGGTGTCAACCTTTCTCTCCATCTATGGTTGTTAAGAACCAAATTGGTTCCTGCTCTTTGCTTTAACTCCACATTCCACATCCAAAGCACCAAGCATGTCCTACCATCTAAGTCTCAAATGCACGCAGGCCAGTTCATCTCCATTACTACCACTGTAATACAAACATCATTTCTCGCCTGTGTCCACTCATCTCCCCTGCTATATAGCATCTTAAAATTGCAGTATTCAGGTCACCTCTTTGCTTAAAACTCTCAAAACAGCTTCCTGTAACACCCTGATTAAAACCTAAGCACTCTGCTACAGGAAACCGCTTCTGCTTACTTCCCAACCTCATCCCTGCTATTCCTCCTTAGCTACCAGGTATAAACCAAGCCCACCTCCTCTCAATTCCTTACACATGTCAAGGTCACTCCCAACACAGGTCCTCAGCTCTTCTCCCTGCCTAGGACATTCTTTCCTTTGATCTTCTCATGGCTGGCTCTTTCTCATAAGTCAGATTTCATCTTAATTTTACTTCCTCAGAGATGTTTTCTCTAGCCCTTCCCCACAGTCGCTCCCTCACTCATCACACTCCTCTCTTTCTATCTTGTACACCATTATTTCTCTACGACCTTGAACAGAGCCTGCATTGACGCTTCATAAATAAATACTAGCCGAAAGAATAAACAGTAAAGGGATGCAAACTCAAATCAGAATTATCCAAAGTCAATTAATTTGGCTGTCTTAATTAATTAATATGAACCACAGACCAAAGCAGTCACCACCCAAATTATTTTCCCAGACAAGAAGTGTCTCTGATTTGTCACCTTGGTTCTGAAGCACATAAAATGTTATTTCTGAATCATACATTACCGCGTGAACCTTCCTATCAGAGAAGGGCCCTCATTCTAAGAGCTAGGGAAATTCTGGGAAGAGGTTACCCCAAACATACAAATGATGCTGTTCTCATTTTTCTCTCACCTCTCCCTGAGAAAATGGCCTTCAAAGGCCACAGCCCGCACTTATACTGAGGGCCCCTACATTAATTTGCTGGTATGGTCTACAGAACTCTGATAATCTCCGTTCACAATTTTCTCTCCATTGCTCTGCTTCTCATTTGGATACCACTTCCATTGTCCTTAATCCTCCTCTTCCTTCTTTCTCTTTTCCTACTTCTCAGTTTGTATTACAGCAGAGCTCGCTTTAAAAACTACCCAAGGAATCTTCTTTATTAGTGAGTCATTAACACTGTCACATTCCTGCTTATTTTTAATTGCAGCTAGTGCTCAGAGAGGCTTTTCCTGTTGTTCCCAGGTGTCTGGAAGTAACTACAGTACTACTGAAGACTGAGGAAATCACCACACTTGGACCTCATATTTCATATGACAGTCTAAGAAAGTCAAACAAAAGTTTGAGCTTATATTTTTAACACGGGATTACAGAAATGGAAACAGGACAAGTTTGCTACCAGGGTATTCTTTTTTCCTGAGCCAATCTGACCTTCTCCTACCCATGAAGTGAAGCTGCTGAACACCACAGCTTTCCCAGGAAATATTTATTTGGTTCCCGTAAATCCAATCATGCTTCACAGTAACTCATTTTATACTAACCCAAAACAGGTATACTGTTGTCATGTAAAAATATAAGAGATACTTGCTGTTGCTTTTTCTTGCTCTTCACTGCTTTTCTTCTTTTTTGCTCGTACCTAAAGAGTTTAAAGTTTTGTGGAGAACAGAAGACAAATATGTAATTGTATTCTATATTTTTATTTCATTCCATAGTATATCTTGCATTTTCAAAATTTATATGTAAGAGCTGGCTGGTTAGCTCACTTGGTTAGAGTATAGTGCTGATATCACCAAGATCAAGTGTTCAGATTCCCATACTGGCCAGCCCAAACTCCCTCATCCCAAAAAGCACAAAATTCCTATGTAAAAAACGTTTTGACAATCAAATGATATTTTAGGTAACCCTATTATGTCTCAGTGAGGTGTCAATGTAAAAAATATGAAGGAAAGAAAATTAAGATTTTAAGTATCTAGAAGGCTTCTCTCATATTCCCTTTCAGCACCTAAAAAAAAAGCATTGTGGTACAGCAGAAAAAAAACATGAACGCTGAAATAAGACAGATCAAGATCTGAATCCTATCTCAGTTACATCTGTATAATGGAGATAATCTTCACCCTCAAGGGGAAGTGACTAGAATGTAGCAGGTGTTTCCCTTCCTCAACAAATGGCAGCTACACATCCAGTGTACTCAGTATGAAACAACAGATTAAACCCTTTAAGTAATAATTATCACCCCACTTAAATTTTATTTCAGTCTTTTAAAGTGTGGTATATTAGACTGATATTAAAAGTTATAAAAGCTCACATATATTAAATAAGTCCAAATTTAAGATATTGTATATTAAGCTCTTCTTGTTATCATGTAGCAAACATAATTAATATAACAATAAAAATACTAGAGTATAAAAAAACGTATAGGGTGGTCCAAAGGTAGTGAGTTACCTCAACTGACTGTTCATAGTAAGTTACAGATGAAACTCCTCGTTCTACTCTTTCCCCATTTCTCACTACTGCACTTGACTAGTATAAAGAAAAAAAAGAGTAAACGTAAGTTAATGTGTTGTATGCCTGCTAGGTGACTACATAGTAAAAACATGACACAAACAGATAAAGGTGTTAACAATGTAAGGAAGCATACGGGTAAAGGAATAGAACATATAAGCATCAGAAACCATTAGCTCTCAATAGGATGGCAGCTCTCTTAGAGAGCACTTAAGAAATTATTGGTTTTTGTTGTTACTCTTGTCATTATAATGACTGGGGGTGATAGTAGCTGTACTGCATCCCCATTTAGCCAGGCAGAGATGAAGAATGCTGTCATGCCAAGCACAGGACAGCCTTGTACATCCTAATGACTTTTGGGCAGCCTACTAAACACTAATGTCATAAATTGGTTTATAATACAGAAACTAAATTTATCATAAATATGAACACAAAGTATTTTGTGCAAGATTGCAAGATAAGGCTTCTGGTCAAGACGGCAGAATAGACGGTCCCCAGTGTCACTCTCTCCTGCAAATCAACCAATTTAAAACTACATAAAAAAGCAACAACAGCCAAGCTGGTGCTGCTAGAGCTCAGGGGAAGAGGAGGAGAGACCTACAGAGTACATGAAGGTGAGAGAAGCCGCAATGAGAGAAAGAAAAAACTGCTCTGACCATTTTGTGCCATGGCTGCTCTAAGGCTGGAGCTGCTGAGCCCACAGAACAGGAGCTGGTAGAAGTTGCTGTTGTGCCCTTCAGATGGAGTTGCTTGGAGGCAGCAGGGGAGAAGAGGGCTCTTTGTGGCCCCCAGGCCAGCAAGACACTAATGGGGTTCCCATGGACCCACATAGAAGCGAGGAGCCACAACATCTGAAAAAATGGAGCCACTCAGAGGCCAGTGAGTCATCACAAGGGACTGGTGCACAGCCTGTCCCACGGGAAGCGTTTGCAGCATGGTCGGTAGGGGAGACAGGCCTACCAGGGGAATGCTGGAGCACAGTAAGGACAGCTGATCTGCATCCCCGTCAGTGTAGGACCACTCAGAGGAGATTGGTCAGGAATATAGAATTGCATGGGGTGCAGTCTGATGAAAAGACTCAGGCCCAGATCAGAGTTACTATACAACCCAGCTGCACCAAGTCTCTGGAGAGCCGGTAGTATCTATAAAGTCAACCATTATAGGGGCCGGCCCGGTGACACACTGCTACAGTGTGCCGCTTGGGAAGTGCGGCGGCGCTCCCGCCGAGGGTTCGGATCCCACATACAGACCGGCCGCTCACTGGCTGAGCGGGGAGCGGGGGCAACACCGAGGGTTGCGATCCCGTAGCCGGTCCCGGTCCGGTACGGGCGCGACACTGAGGGTTGCGATCCGTTGCCGGTCACGAAAAAAGACAAAAAGACAAAAAAAAAAAAAAAAGTCAACCATTATAACCTGTGCTGCACAAAAAGCCCTCCCTAGGGAAGCAGCAGCAAAGCAGCAATTTAAGTAAACCACAGAGCTCAAGTACTAGTCCCAACAGGAAGTTACCACACTTTAGAAGTAAGCAAAGGACAAAAGATTAGTTCCAGCTCAGACACACTGCAAGTGCCTCAGGTCTGCCCAGGGAAGTGAGGCTGGAGCTAGGGACTGGACACCCCTCCCACAACCAGGCACACCACACCAGTGCCTTGGGGCCCACCTGGGCACCCAAGGCATGGACAAGGGATATAAAGAATAATTACGGAGCCGGCCCGGTGGCGCACTGGAGAGTGCGCCGCCTGTGAGCGCGGTGGCGTTCCCGCCGAGGGTTCGGATCCCATGTGGAGACCGGTTCCCGCTCACTGGTTGAGCGCGGTGCGGGCGTGACACCAAGGGTTGCGATCCCGTTACCGGTCAGTAAAAAAAGATAAAAAGGAAAAAAAAAAAGAATAATTACGACTTGTAACAATATATATGCCAGTAATATTGATTTGATCAACATATCTCAAAATTGAACCCCAAAAATATGTATAATCAATTTTGAGTCAATAAAAATTAAAAAAAAAAAAAAAAAAAAGACTGTAAGATACAATGCATGCCCCAGAAGTGCCAATATCATATAAACAGAGAAAAGGCTGTAATTTATTTCATTCAGAGATTAACTAAGTTTTATCCACCATTCTGAAAATGTAATTGATGGAAATGCCATTGTAGGGGTGTTTTTTATTTTTAACATTTACTTTTACATATTTGTGGAGTACAGTGTGTTGTTTAACTATGTGCATATAATGCACAAGAATTCACTTAGGGTAGACAGCATAGTTTTATACCTGTTGGTCTACCACTTCTCCTCTCCCCAACCCCCTTTCTCCTACCAGCCTTTGGTAATCATTATTCTACTCTCTACCTCTGTAAGAACCTTTTTTTTTTTTTTTAAAGATTCCACATATGAGCAAAATCATGTAGTATTAGTGTTTTTGTGCCTGACTTACTTAACATGACGGTTTCCAATTCCATCCATGTGGCTGCAAATGATAGAATGTCATTTCTTCTATAGCTGAATAGTATTTCACTGTGTATATCTACCATAAATTTTTAGTCCATTCATCTGCTGATGGGCATTTAGGTTGATTCCATCTCTTGGCTATTGTGAATTGCACTGAATGAACATGGGAGTACGGGTGTGTTTTTGATATAGTGATTTCATTTCCTTTGGGTATATACCCAGTAGCAGGATAGCTGGGTCATAAGGTAGATCTACTTTCAGTTCTGAGGAACCTCCATACTGTATTCCACAACAGCTGTATCAATTTACACTGCCACCAACAATGTAGGAGAGTTCCCTTTTCTCTGCATACTCACCAGCATTTATTATATTGTCTTGTTGATAAATAGCCATTCTAACTGGAGATGATTACTTTATTGTGGTTGAATTTGCATTCCCTGATAATTAGTGATTTTGAGCATTTTTTTTTTTTTTTGTCCTTTTTGAGACCGGCCGCACTGCGCTCAGCCAGTGAGCGCTGTGAGTGCACCGGTCATCCCTATATAGGATCCGAACCCACGGCGGGAGCGCTGCAATGCTCCCAGTGCCGCACTCTCCCGAGTGCGCCATGGGATCGGCCCTTGAGCATTTTTTCAAGTGCTTGTTGACTGTACGTCTTCTTTTGAGACATGTCTGTTTGGTCCTTTGCCCATTTTTTAATGGGTTATTTGGGGGATTTTTGGTGTTGTTTAAGTTTCTTATATATTCTGGATATTACCTCTCTGTCTAATGTGTAGTTTGCAAACACTTTCTCCCATTCTGCAGGTTGTCTCTTCACTTTGTTGATAATGTCTCTTGCTGTGCAGAAGCTTTTTAGTTTGATGTAGTCCCATTTGTGTATTTTTTATTTAGTTGCCTGTGCCTTTGCAGTCTTGTTTCCTGTAGTTTCATAGTTTCGGATCTTACATTTAGGTCTTTAATCCATTTTGAGTTTATTTTTGTGTATGGTGAGAGGTAGCAGTCTAATTTCAATCTTCTGCATATGGAGATCTAGTTTTCCCAGCACCATTTATTGAAGAGGCTATCTTTTCCCCATTGTATATTCTTGGCACCTTTGTCAAAAACCAGTTGGCTCTAAGTGTATCGATCTATTTCAGGGCATGCTATTCTGTTCCACTGGTCTATTTATCTGTTTTTATGCCAGTACCATGCTGTTTTGGTTACTATAGCGTTATAGTATATTTTGAGTCAGGAAGTATCTTTGTTCTTTTTGTTCAAGATTGCTTTAGCTATATGGAGTCTTCTGTGGTTCTATACAGATTTCAAGATTGATTTTTGTATTTTTGTGAGCAATGTCATTGATATTTTTGATAGGGGTTGCACTGAATGTGTACATTGCTTTGAGTAATATAGACATTTTGAAGTTAATTCTTCCAACCCACAAACATGGACTATTGTTCCATTTATATGTGTCCTCGTCAATTTTATTTACCAATTTTTTATAGTTTTCACTGTAGAGATCTTTCACTTCCTTAAATTTTTTCTTAGGGGCCAGGCTGTGGCTCACTTGAGAGAGTGTGGTGCTGATAACACCAAGGCCAATGGTTCGGATCCCTATATCGGGATGGCTGGTTAGTTCACTTGGGAGAGCGTGGTGCTGACAACACCAAGTCAAGGGTTAAGATCCCCTTACTGGTCATCTTAAAAAAAAAAAAAATTTATTCCTAGGTATTTCATTTTTAAATAGCTACTGTGAATAGGATTACTAAGGCCAATGGTTCGGATCCCTATATCGGGATGGCTGGTTAGTTCACTTGGGAGAGCGTGGTGCTGACAACACCAAGTCAAGGGTTAAGATCCCCTTACTGGTCATCTTAAAAAAAAAAAAAATTTATTCCTAGGTATTTCATTTTTAAATAGCTACTGTGAATAGGATTACTGTCTGGATTTCTTCTTTGGTTTTTTTGTTATTGGCCTATAGGAAGGCTACTGATTTTTGTGTGTTGATTTTGTAGCCTGCCACTATACTGAATTCATTTACCAGTTCTAGTAATGTTTTAGTGGAGTCCTAGGATTTTCTATGCATATGCCATCTGCAAATAGGGGTAGTTGAACTTCCTCCTTTCTGATCTAGGTGCCCTTTATTGCTTTCTCTTGCTTTGTACATCCTATATGACTTTTGAATAGCCTGCTAAACATTCATGCAATAAGTTTGTTTATAATACAGAAAGTAAATTTGTTGTAAATATGAACAGAAAATATTCTGTGCAAGACTTTAAGATATAATACATGCCCCAGAAGTGCTAATGTCATATCAAATAGAAGAAAAACTATTTTATTTCATTCAGAGCTCTACTAAATTTTGTTCACCCTCTGGAAAACATCATCAATGGCAATGTTATTGTATGGTTTTTGAAGGGCCTACGTAATGCACGTGCATTTGTTTTGTCTTCATACTCTATGTCTTCTACAAGAATTTACATATTAAAAAATAATTTCATAAAATTACAATCATTATTTATTTTTATTTCTTCTTTATATTTCTGTTCGGGAACAGAAAAATAAAACATTTATATAGATAGCTTATATTATTAGCTACAAATTTCATTTCAGGGGCATTACAAAATATTGCTATAAAACAGGGGCAACAGGTCTGCAAGGACTGAGGGCCACTGTTGCAGACTAGGTGCAATTAAATGAAAAAGGAGACAGGCACAAATAAACAAACAAAAAGGCAGAATCAGGGAGTAGGGAAATGAAAAATAGGGTAGATAGAGATAGATTTGGGCAGGGCTGATGTAAGAGGAGGCCAAGACAGAAAGGCGGAATCAAGAAATCAGCTCTTGTAGTAATCTGATACTACTCCTTATAACCAAGAGCCAGACTCTCAACTTTCTTAGATTAGGTTGAATATCTTGATCTCTAAAGAAAGCTGCAGCTTTAAAAATCAATGACTCTTGTGCAACTGTGGCCTTGATTTTCCTGCAATGCCAAGAACTATGCAAACTTTAGCCACCATTTATTCTATTCTAGTTATTTTGAAGAGCCCTTCATAATTTATCGTCCCACTTAGTTCTCACAATAAAGTAACATGATAGGTTCCTATTTCACAGATGAGGAAACCTCAGCCAAGAGAGAAACACTTTAAAGATGATAAATTCCAGACCCGAAATTAAAGAATGGACTCTGATTCTAAGAGAGTACATAATCTAACATTGGGATAGTTGGAGCTGAAAAAGACTATACGGATGACCTAATCCTCTACCCTCATTTTATAGAAAGGAAAACCAAGGTCAAACCATTTCTTCTCCACCTTTTCACCATTCTAGTCCCCAGATAATAGCTCAAAACAAAAACAATAATGTCAACTAAATTGAGAAAGCATGTGCAATGTTCTATTTTAAATATGTAAAGGAATGCTGGTTGTCCATATGTTATAGATTATATAGCTTCTATCATGGAATCCGAATGGTAGTACAATAAAGACAAAATATTAGAGGAGTAAAAATATCTCAGTTTGGAAAGGTATATGGAAATATGGTTAATTATCAAAATAATAGCCATGCAACTGTTTTCTGGAAAAATGCAAAACTTATGCTGAAATGGAACAATTTCCATTTTTTCACACCAAAAAAGTATGAAAAGTAAATCGAGTATTTCTGAAGCATTTCTTTTTACCAATTCATATTTATTAAATCAATAACTAAAAATTTTAAAGTAGAGAAAATGTATTGGATTGTATACTCACTTCCTCAATATATTCTGATTCGGACAAGGACTCAGATGATAAAGGTTTATCTTCAGGATCCATCTTCCTTTTCTTGCTGAGCCTTTTAACATCCTATAAAAGAAAACACATGTGTCTCAATTCAAAAAGATATATATTATACTATGCCAGACAAATTTTATGTTTCTAAGCTCTATTTAATAATTCTTCCAATTATCATGAAAATTACTCATTTCATTTTAGAAATGTCTAGAAAATGGTGACAATTATTAGGATTTAAGTCTTTAATCCCAATACACCAATGCTTTTATTAAATAACTATAAAAGAAATAACTATATAACCATTGAGATACAATATCCTCCTTATTTTCTTAAATTTTACATGATAGAATTTTAAGAACCATAAAAAAAACATATAAGATGTTATAAAATTTGGGTCTTTTGTATTTTAATACTTTTGTTTTCACCCAGAGTTGGATCAGACAGGCCTACAGTTGCAGAATAAAAAATCAATGTGTAACTATTTGCAATGATCTAAGAGGAGACACCTTTAAGTGTATTTAAAGTGTTAAATTCATATTTTAAAAAATCTTAATCTTTAACCCTTTTTAATATTGAGAAAATGAATTAACTCTTTGGGAAAAGAGGGTGGTGATTAGGAGGGGTATTTACAGACTAAAGCACATATTTCAAGAAATAAAAAATTAAGGGCCAGAAAAAAAAAAAAAAAAAAAAAAAATTAAAAATTAAGAAATCATCTGGGCTGGCCCGGTGGCGCACTCGGTAGAGTGCGGCGCTTGGGAGCGCAGTGGCGCTCCCGCCGAGGGTTCGGATCCCATATAGAGACCGGTCCACTCACTGGTTGAGCGCGGTGCAGGCGTGACACTGAGGGTTGCGATCCCGTTACCGGTCACGAAAAAAGACAAAAAGAAAAAAAAAAAAAAGAAAGAAATCATCTGAAGAATTATGGCAAAATGTTAAGATTTACGAAAGCTGCATATTGAATATGTTGGTAATCATTTTTATTATTTTTTTTTCTTTTTTGGGGGGGCTAGGTGATATAGAGATCCAAACCCTTGATCTTGGTTTTTTAATACGATTTTATTATTTATTATAGAATTTTTCTGCATAACTAGCTCATGGCAATAAAAACAACAAAACCACACAATGGAAAAAATGCTCACCACCTACGTAATCTTACGCAGAAAAAGCAGGACATAAACCATTTCACATAGCATGAGTACAATTTTGAAGACATAAACAAAAAAAAATCATGTAGAAAATAAACTAACAGTGATGATCTACGTGTTAGATTTTAGGTGATTTTGTTTTGTGTCTGCAAATAGCTTTATTATTTGGTTGAAATGATAAATGTTCATTGTAAGAAAATGCACCCAAATCTCTCTACCAAAGGATAAACGTCATTAAGATTTTTGGAAACATCTATGTGTATGTTTATAATTTTACATAAATACTTGCTGTTTGGAACCTGCTCTTCTCACCCAATAATATCTTTCCAGGCCAACCACATGATCATTTATGACCGCCTTTGACATTCATTGAAATTATATGCCAAAATTTACTTAACCTCTCTTCTTCTGGTGGGCAGACCTGTGGATTCTTTGCTATTACTAACAAAGTTGAAAGAGAACGAAGGGTATGTAAGTGCAAAATCTTTACCTAATGATGACTAAATCAAAGACTACAGTGGCCTTCACACAAATGATATTCTTGCTCTCCTACCACCCTCCAAATTTTTTCTTATTTGTCACCCACTTATAAATCACACTTTATCAAGAAGCCCCCTTATTAGGCTCTTTATCAATCATCTCAACCTCAGACTACTGGAATACAGTTTGCATTTTCTTTTAAAATTGCCTAAATATTTGCTTAGCTTAGACCTCAGCGTATATAGCAAAAAGTATTTAGAAGCACCAGAGTGGCACATTACTCATCCTTGAAGGGAGTGGGATGGAGGATGAGCTTCCCTGAGGAGGTGGTAGTTCTGACTATGAGCTGAATTCTGAATGATAAGGAAGATGAAGAGTGGTTGGAGAGAATTAAAGATGGTAGCATTATTGACTCAATTAAAACAATCTGTGTGGGGGATCATACTGAATCCCCCATCACATGATGAGAAAACATCATTGGGTTGCATCACTATGAGGTTGCTAAGAAGTTAAGGGAATTAAAGAAAAAGGAACTCCTTACCATGAAGTTAAGAGAACCTAAGAAGGCATCTGAAATACAGCCAAGGTCAAAAGCTGGAAGGTTGTCAGCAAGAAAAGTTGGTACTGGAAGGGGGACACTTTGCCTGAGATCAGAAGGTCCTGCCACTGTGGAAGAAGAGCCTTCTGAAGCCAAAGCAAAGGCAATTGAAAAAGTTGATGGTCTTCTTGAATGGTACATGGGAAATTCAACATATTGATTTAGGCTTCTGGTCAAGATGGTGGAATAGACAGTCCCCAGAGTCACACTCTCCCACAAATCAACCACTCTACAACTATGAAAAAGCAATGACAGCCCAGCTGGAAAAGCTAGAGCTCAGGGGAAGAGGAGGAGAGACCTACAGAGTTCATGAAGGTGGGAGAAGCCACAATGAAAGAAAGAAAAAAACACTGTTTCAAGCCCCAGCTGCATCCAGGCTGGAGCTGCTGAGTGCCCAGAGCAGGACCTGGCAAAAGTCACAGCTGTGCCCTTCAGATGAAGTTGCTTGGAGGCTGCAGGGGAGAAGAGGGCCTTGGTGACCCCCAGGCCAGCAAGACTACTAATAGGGTTCCCATGGACCTACACAAGAGCGAGGAGCAACAACAACTGAAAAAAGGAACCACTCAGAGGCTCCATGGCCTGTCCCATGGGAGGTAGTTGGAGCATGGGCAGTGGGGGAGACAGGCGCGCTGGGAGAACACTGGGACACAGAAAGGACAGCTGATCTGCCCCCAAATCAGTGCAGGCCCACTCAGTGGAGACTGGTCAGGAATATAGAACTGCAGGGAGTGCAGTTTGCTGAAAAGACACAGGCCCAGGCCAGAGTTTCTACACAACCCAGGTGTACTGGAACTCATGAGACCCTGAAGTACCTATACAGTCAACAATTAAAACCTGAGCTGCACAAAAAGCCTTCCCCAGCAATCATCAGCAAAGCAACAATTTAGCTCAACCACAGAGCTCAAGTGCTGGTCCCAGAGGAAGTTTCCCCATTTTAGAGGTAAGCAAAGGACAACAAATTAGTTCCAGTGCAGAGTTTAAGTGGTAGGAACAGCAAATAATCCAGAACTGGAAGAAAAAACAAAATATCTACAGACCAGAGACAAAGTTTGCTATTAACTAGTAAAGGTCTCACATCACCAAAGAACACCTATAAAACCTAGAAGGACCAGAAGTCCCCTGGGCTACCAAGCCAGGGAGCAGGGAAGGATGGGGACCCCAGCCATGTCCCCTGACACCCACAACCAGCCCAGCGATGATAACCGAGCAGTCACATGAAGAGCCCTGGGCTTTCCCAAGCCAGGGTGGTAAGGTCCGAGGGCCTTGGCCACCACCCCAACACCTGCAACCAGCCCAGTGATGACCACTGAGCTGCCACAGGAAGCACCCTGAGGTCCGGAGCTGGGGTGGTGGGGGGTGAGTGCTTCAGCCACACATCCCTGACATCTGCACCCAGCCCAGCAATGACCAAGCCATTGCTGGAAGCCCTCTGGTCTCCCCTGCAGGAATGAACGGGGTGCCAGAGGCCTGACACTTGCCCCTCCTCCTTCCTCCTTCCTCCTTTTCCTACCCTGTTGTCTTTCCCCTTCCTTTCTCCCCTCCCCAACAACGGCTCTGCAACATCATGGAATGTAAAAAAATAATAAATAAACTTAAAAAAATAAAGTAAAATTGCCTAAATGGGTATTTTGCCAAATTTTCTGTGCATTTCTGGTATTCTTTATATTTCTTAGTTATCAAAGACCATTAAATTTTTATCTTATACATTCCCAGATGGTTTTCATAGTCTGTTCATTGTATTTAAACTTTGTTCATAGTTTTTTTGTATTCTCTCTCTTTACCATTGAGAATTTGAAACATGTGGTCAAAAGTTGTTTTGAGGTATGGGCTTTTCCCACCCCAGTATTATAAAAATATTCACCCTTGTCTTTCTCTAGTTGCATTTTCATACATTTAAATCTTTGACCTATCTGGGGCTTACTTGGTTTGAACAAGTGTCCAGCTTTATATTTTCCAAATGGTTAGTCATTCTGTCCCAAGAAATGCCACTTTGACCATATATTATATTCCTCAAGTACTTAAATTTTTACCTGAACTCTCCACTGCTTCATTGTTTTGTGTATTCTTGTACCAGTACCATAGTGTATTAAAACATTTTTATAATGTTTTAACATCGAAGAGGGTACACCAAACCCAGGAACATGTTATTTTTTCCTTTTATTCAATCTTCATATACTCATGTCTCAAAATAGACTAATACCGTTTTCCTGCTCCCTTTAAAATATTCCCATAGATTTTTGATTGCAATTATAAGTGGGATATTTTCTTTCATTATATTTTCTAATTGGGTATTGCATTACCTAGCACTTTAGAACAATTTTAGATAATAATGGGCTAAAAGAAATAATTGATAAGTGACTTAAAATTAAAGCCTTAGGGGCTGGTCAGTTAGCTCAGTTGGTTAGAGACTAGTGTTATAACACCAAGCTCAAGGGTTAAGATCCCCATACTGGCCAGCCGCTATTTAAAAAAAGAAAATTAAAGCCTTTAGATGATTAAGGTTAAGAGAAACCATAACCCCAAAAATATCAATCATATATAGTAAGCAAGATTAGTATCCTAAATATATAACTCTTATGAATCAGAAAGATCCAAAGCAATCAATCTGACAGGAAAACAGGCAAATACTATAAACAGGAAATGCACAGAAAATATAATATGAATGACTAATAAGCAAATGAAGAGGTTCAACCATCTGTCCACATCAAATTGGTAAAAGTGAAGTCTTACAGTGTTGAAACAAGATTACTTTCATATGCTACTAAGCACTACAGTTAATGACAAGCACTTTGGTGAGGAAAATGTAGACAAGTTAAATGTATGCATATGCTAGAACCCAGAAATTATAGTTCCAGGTATACCTTAGAAAATTAACAATAATTTGTAGAAAAGGAGAAATGGACAAGAAATATCCACTGCAGCACTGTTCACATTACTGAAAAATAAAAACAATCTAGATGTCCACAAACAGGAGAATGGAGAAATAAATTGTGACGAATTAATATAATGGAATACTATAAGGAAAAGAAAACAAACTTGAAAGTATCAACGAGGATAAATGTCAACAGTAATGCTGAAGGAAAAAAGCAAGGTTCAGAAGGAAATATGACACCATTCTGAAAATACGCAATAGTCTATGTTATTTATGAACATATGCAGTAAAAGTGCACAAATGTGAAAGGGAAGGATGTGCACTAATTTCAGCTACCTCTAAGGAAGGAGTTTGGGGATTTTTTTCTCTTTTTTTTAAGTACAAGAACTAAAACAAATGTAAATCATTCATAAATTCATAAATGTATATAGGTATTTGTTTATTATATAAGTGTATACTACTCTATACCTAATATTATGAAGTACTACAAAATAACAATGCAGTTGGTTTTAGTATTTCATTTTTGTATATTACCAGATTTCAGTTTCACACATACATTTTCTTTAAACATGAAAGCAAGCACTTATTGTATAACAGCTTTGGAAATTAGGAATTAATGCTGAATTATATCACGTCCTTTTGGCAACTATCAAAATAATCATAAGGTTTGTTTCTTTTGATCAGTGAATATGGAAAATGATATTGATAAATTTCTTACCCTTGAATTCTTGGAATTAACCCAATTGGTCATGATGTTTTCTGTTTTCATGTTTTAATGGATTTTTCTTTACAAATTGATATAAAAACCACTCCAAGATATATACCCAAGACAAAGGAAAACACATGTCCACACAGAGACTTGCACATGTTTATTAATATGTTTATAGCAGCATTATTTATAATAGCCAAAAGGTAGAAACAATTCAAATGACCACCAACAAATGAATAGAAAAATTATAGTACACACATATATTGGAATATTATTCAGCAATTTAAAAAACACACAAAGTACTGATATAGGCTACAATCTGGATGAATCTCAAAACTTTACACTAGCTAAAAGAAGCCAGATTCTAAAGGTCACATATTGCATGACTGCTATCCAGGAAAGGCAAATTTATAGATGCAAAAAGCAAATTAGGGGTTACTAGAGGATGAAGGGAAAGGAGACTGAGGAGTGAATTCTTAATGGGTATGGGGTGATAAAAAAATTTTGAAACTACAGAGATGTGGTGATTGAACAACACTGTATACAAAATACCACCAAAATGTAACTTTAAAATGGCCAATAATATATTATTTGAATTTCACCTCAATTTTTAAAAAATTATATAAAAAGACTGAGTAAAATATAGTGACATTAGTCTGTAGTTTTCTTTCTTTAATAATTACTTTCTTTGGGCTTGTCTTTATTTTTAATAAAGAGAAAAATACTTTTTTTTTTCCTTTTTGTCTTTTTTACTGACTGGTAACGGGATCGCAACCCTCGGTGTCGCGCCCGTACCGGGGACCAGCAACGGGATCGCAACCCTCGGTGTTGTGCCCGCACCATGCTCAGCCAGTGAGTGGGAACCGGTCTCTACATGGGATCCGAACCCTCAGCGGGAGCGCCGCCACGCTCCCAAGCGGCGCACTCTCCAGTGTGCCACCAGGCCGGCCCGAGAAAAATACTTTTAATGTAAACCAGAAACCTAGGCTAAGGACAAATTTAGCATTAATTACAGATAAGTCATAAATAAAGATAAAACATCTACTTACAATAGTAAAAAGACTTCTCAAACTTTATCTGTAGTACGTTCAATTTGAAACAGAAGTCCATGTTATCTAATTAAAAGGGCCTTCTTTAAAATGACTTGAGGAAACAAAGAAAATGTTTAATCTCCATTACTTTGTATTTTAAATCTGAAATAATCCATTACTCTATACAAATTCAAATGCCCTGTAGGAATGCTCTTCTGATCTTTTACTTTCAATAATAAATTCAAATAAAAAATGTCTTTAGGGGCTGGCTAGTTAGCTCAGTTGGTTAGAGCACAAGCATGTAACAAGTCAAGGTTTCAGATCCTCTTACTGGCCAGCTGCCAAGCCAAACAAACAAAAACAAACAAACAAACAAACAAAAATCTTTGAGTCGGCACAAAATTCCATAAAAGCAAAGTAAAGAAATGTAAGTTAAAAAGTGGTACGCGTTATCGATTTTTTAAAGTCAATTAAGTATTGTGTGACAGACTATCTTAAGGCAATGTAAAAGAATACTTACCTTTTCCTTCTCAGTTGCATCCTTTGACTTCTTTTTCTTCTTTAAACTATCCTAAACAAATACATACACATCAACTTTAAATGTAAAGGATACGGAATGACAGAACAAAGACAAAAATACAAAAAAAGTAATTTGTTCTAAGACTAAAAAATTGTACTCCAGTACTAGCATATTATTCTAAAAATGTAAGAGAAATGTACATTATGTATATATTTGCTTGTAAGCAAACAAACTTCTTCATTTATCTGGCTATATTAAAAATCTACAAAGAGTCTTTAAAAAGTTTATGAAAGGATTTTTGTTATCTTCTAATTCTATTTTTCCATGAATTTTTTGAAGTATCCTCGTATGTACCCTCAAAATGACAGATACTCTCTATAATACCCATGTGGTTTAATAAATGAATGGATTAATTAATTCCCAATTATGACTATAGTTTTGATTCACTAAAACGAAGCAGCACAGAGTGCATCTTTCATCTATCTTGCTTTATTTTTGTTTTTGAACAAGTATACAAACAAAAATTGAAAAGGAGCACTGGATAAATGGTTCAGAAATATGCAAATAAAATCTATGCAAAAGATAATCAGACATCATTACCAATAAAGAATTTTTTCTTTTTTTAATTTTTATTTTTCATTATACATGTTTACGGGGTACAGTTTATTGATTCAATACACGCATATATATTGTATAATGATCTAATCAGAATAGTTGGCATATTTTTCACCTAAACATCTATCATTTCTTTGTGTTTATACCATTGAAAATCCTCTTTTCTGGTTTTCTTGAAATATACATTACAATATTATTAGCTGTTGTCACCCTAGAGCACCAGAACTTATGCTTCCTACCTAACTGTAACTTTGTACCATTCTACCAATCTTTCCCAAGCCCTCATTCCCTTCCCATCCCTGCCTCTAGTAACCACTATTCTACTCTCTACTTCTTTTTTTTTTCCTCTCTTTTAAATTTGTTTTTCTTATTTGACCCACTACATGGCCTATTTTAAAACAGGACTTCATGCCATTGCCTATCTTCGCCTGTGGGGGTGACATGCACTGGACTTCTAATTCACCCTGTGCTCACACACATCCACCAGTTTGATTTCCTCACTCTCCTCAGGAGGGGAGGCAAGAATTTCTGCTTTTGAATCCCTTAATTCTAGCTATTAATCACCCTGAGCCTCAGTTTACTTTTCAGTAAAGTGCATTAATGAATTAACTACTTTACAAGGCTGTTGAGAGGATTTAATGACATAACATGTCAAGTGCTCAGCACAGTGCCTAACACATAGTAGGTACTCAATAAATGTTAGCTATCATTATTATGAGATAGGCTCGTCTGCTTTAAGAGACAAAGAGGGCAGGCCAGTTAGCTCAGTTGTTTAAAGTGTGGTGCTGATAACATCAAAGTCAAGGGTTCTATCCCTGTACCTGCCAGCAAAAAAGAAGGAAAAAAAAAAAAAAAAGACAGAGAAAACCAACATTTACTGAGTACTTTCTAGACACTAGGTATTTTGCCAGAAGAAGTCTCACCAGGGCAAGTAGATATCTGCTATAAAATCCAGACAGTTGCTTCGGTTTCCTGAGACCCCAGTACACTATCGAATTGTGGCCTATGGACACCCTGTGTCAGAATCAGGGTATCTGTTAAAAATGTAGACTTCTGAGCCCAATCAGACTTACTAAATTAGACCCTGGAGATGGGGCCCAGGAATCAACATTTTTATTGAGATCGTCATTCCTTTTTTAACGATCACTAAAGTTTGAACCAATTTTATCTGACAATTCTGATTAGTACAGAACAAATTTAGGTATGGTATACTACAAAAAGGACACTAGACCAGATATTAGAAGATACAGATTTCCCATTATAACACTAGGTGCTTGAATTTAAGCAAAATGTTTTTTCTCTGAATGACAATTTCTTTATGAAAATGGGGAAATTAATGTAATTATTCAGGGAGATGTGGAAACATAAAGACCAAGAAATGAATGTACTTTGAGAATTAATAAATGCCAAATTTAAGATATTATTGAGTACATCAGTGAAGTGGCATAGAACATCCAAGTACAAAAATCAAACCATATCTCGTTTCTAAACTGATATTAAGATACGAAGAACTAAAAGAAACACTTAAATGTCTTTGCTATCCAAAATGTTCATAATTTAAATAGTTTTACCTTACTGTCTGATTCTGTTTCCGACATTGAGCTTTCAGAAGATTTATTTAAACGGTACTTCTTTTTCTTCTTCCTTTTCCCTTGTTTCTTATCCTATATAAAACATTGTTAGAAACATTTGCTTTCTGTTCCAAAAATATAATGTATACATTTTCTCAACATCAAAACTTTGCCAATGAACAAAACTTAAACAAAGGACCAGCTTTTAAATGTATATTTTTCCTTAATCATTAGTATTTAAAATGTAATATATCATTTTCCTGTTTTATAAATAAGGTCAAGTGATTTGACTCACAGATAATCCCTAGAATCTAGTCAAATAGAATTTCACATTTTTCAAATCTGTTTCTACTGATACTGTTAAATAAACTTAGAAATATAACAATATATATATACACAAATATTTAAATATCTAGTTATTTATTCAGGTTAGTGCTCTAAGTAATGGATAATTAATCAAAACCTGAAAGTAAACATTTCTAATAGGTATGAGTATACTTCAAAGTTTGTGGAAAAATAAAATTCAAAGATAATAAGAATCTTTCCATGAACTTTTTGAAATACCCTTGTTTTTCACAATGGGTTTCTTCATGACTAAAAAATTAGAAATATTACACTTCATGAACCTTACCTCATCTTCAGAATCCAAAGAACTGCTGGAAGAATCAGAGCTTGATGAAGAAGAAGAGGAGGAATACTTGACCAAGCACAAAACAATTAAAACTTGTGAGATGCAGGAATTTTTTTCTTCTCCTAAGTCTCTCAAATAAATACCCAGCAAAATCAATCTTGTGTCTAAGAAACAGATGCTATATTCATAAGACTTAAATAGTAAGATTATGTTAACACACGTGGTCCCCCTTCCCCCCAAAAGCTCTTTAAATAGCAACAAAAGAGTTACTAAATTATAAGGAGGTGTGTATCTTTCTTACATATCACTGATAGAACAAAGCCACCCATCACAACCAAAGGACATCCAGGCTCCTTGACTCATCTAGAGTCTAAGTTACCTTCAGCAGACAGGTTAAATAAATTATTCTTATTTTTTTTGCAGGCTCTTAATGATAACATTTAGAAAATGGAAAACTTTTGCTCACCCTACCAGATTTCTTCTTTTCTTTTTTCTTTCTCTAAATGGAAACAAATAAAAGTACAAGTCTAAGTAAATAAGGTGATATGAGTTTTCAAATCCATCTATTAATAGTAGTACACAGCACTATTATGGAAATCCAGCTATGAGATATAGCAATAAACTAAAAATGGTATTACCTGTCTTTTTTTGGATGAGCTTTCACTTCCACTTAACAATGTCTCCCTGTGTTTTTCTAGTTCTTTCTTCCAGTTCTGTAAAAAGGTTATAAACACCATCAGAGGCTATCTATCCCCTTCTAATGTTTGAACACCTAATATATAGAGACAACCACCTACTTCCTTCTCTCCATCCCCTAATCCTCACTCATCTCAGCTTTTAACTACAGTCAAAAGACACTCCAGGTGCCAATCCTTGCCCCCTATCACCAAAGGAGCCTCTACTAGCTCTTTTCAAAGAGGATAGTAAGGGGTGGCAGTTCTCCACTACATGCCGGGAGGAGGAGTAGGTATTACTGAGGCAGAGGCCTTTTTTCTTTTCAATAAAGATGCCTAGGGCCGGCCCGGTGGCGCACTGGATAAGTGCGCCGCTTGGGAAGTGCAGTGGCGCTCCCGCCGAGGGTTCGGATCCCACGTACAGACCGGTTCCCGCTCACTGGCTGAGCGAGGTGTGGGAGCAACACCGAGGGTTGCGATCCCGTTGCTGGTCCTGGTCCGGTACGGGCGCGACACTGAGGGTTGCGATCCGTTGCCGGACACGAAAAAAGACAAAAAAAAAAAAAAAAAAAAAAATGGCAAGATTCTCTTCCAGACTGCGAAAATTAAAATTAATCTATACTATGGTTGAAATACTACATACTTGTTTATAATCAAAACAAGCAAAC